AGTTGCGAAGCTGGGAGGCGGCGGGGCCTCTACCTTTCCAGGCCCTGGCTTGCGGCTGCGGCCCCGAGTCAGCGGGGGACCTGGGTGGAAATAAACCGAAGCGCGCGTGAGCACACACGCACACCACTAGTCCTCCCCTTTACAAATTGTACACTTGTCCTGGATTGTTAATGAAAAGTGACAGTTCGGATCGCCATCTACTTCTGCCTGGACAAAGAGAGCCCTGAGTCTTTCGTACTCAGGCACCAAAGTTAAAGATTAACTTCCTGCAAGCCCCGTGGCCCTTTCTTGCTACTTAGCTTGGCTCTGAGCCCCAGAAACGCTCCGGGAAACTGGGGCTTTCCTACAGTGGGGCGACAGGTGGGCCGACCCGAGGGGATAACCATGAGTAGATGTTGGCACGTTCTCTCCCATGTAAGTAATTATTGGGACGGCCCGTGCTGGGACTTGGGAGATGACATTAATTTATCCCATCTTATAAACTTCCCGGGAAGGGTTGCCCCAACGAGGGCAAATATCCAATTAGTTAAATCATGTAGACAGGCAATGTGGATTATTTTGTCTTTAAAACATAATCGAAAAACAAACGCTGTTTTTTTTATTTATTGTAGGAATTATTTTTCTACGAAGGAGAGGGCTGAATTGGAAGACTGCCTCTACAGAACCTATACTCAGAGACCCCCCACTAAGAGAAGAAGGCAGTCGATCTCCGGAGTAGAGGTCACCCAGACCTTTGTTCTCTGCCTCCTCCCTTCGCTGAAAAGTCACACTTAAGACAAACACTACCTGCCAGGCTGACAGTTTGATAACGAATAACGGTTATTGGCAGAAGGATATTCTCCCCTACCCCTGGGCTCCTGGTCTACGCAAACGAGGCCATAGGGGGAACTATGCCACCTCTCTGAATAGCGCAAATACAATTCACAAACGGAGTGGCCCCAACTGTTTGTGATTTCAGTCCAGGAGGAGTTGTAAAGTCGCATTGTCGGGGAAACTGCCTTAATCTTCAGCTTCCACTCTGGCCAGGGAAGGGGGAGATGGTAGACGGCTGTGGACCTGCAGCCTCCCTCCTGGGTTTGCAGAACCCCCAGGATTTGGTACACCGTCTGGAGTGGGCGAAGCCCACTCATCTTCTGTGCCTGAGGTTCCTGTTACAGCAGATCCTGAGTCCAACGCCCCCACTCTTAAGCAAGCTTGCTCGCGGGCGTCCTAGCCCCGCGACCATCTGGCTTCTGGGGTACAACTCAGAGCCAAGGGTTTGCACAAGCCAGACCTGCGGGCGGGGAGGGGGTTTGGGCACTCCGTGGGGGGCGATTCGGCTGGCCAGGGCTGAGAGGGACGCTGGAAAGTTCCCGCGGGGTCTCCGACAGGGAGGACAGTCTGTGCACCCAGGACGGGGCTACCGCCCCGGGGCAGTAATTTCCGGGACTCGCCCCCTCCCACCTCCACCCCGCGCCCGACCCTTCTGCTCTCGACCTGACTTGAAAAGGAGCTCCCGCCTCCTGGTGATCTGCGTTAGGGCCCCATCTCCTCCCTCCCATCCACCAACCAACGCCCCCCCACACACCCCCCTCGCGCCACACTCATTCCTTAGGTGTCACCACGTTCCCGAAACCGGGTATTTCCTGGAATGCTCGTCACATCTCCCCTCCCCGGTGTTTTTCTACGGTAGGGGCCGGGGAGGCCTTGTCTTAAATATCACTGTGACGTCACGCCCCCTCCTCAGAGCTAGGAACGCTATGGTAAGCCCCGGGGATTGCAACCCGGCTTGGCGGGTCAAGGAGGGGATGGGGGTCGGCGGATGGACCGAGCGACAGTTCCACCAAACATCCATTACCGCTGTCGCCTGTGGGGCATTTCTGCCCATTGAATCAAGGATTGCGGGGTGGGAGTCGGGGGCGGGTGGGCTAACGGGTGACTGAACTACTCAGTGGAGCAGGAAAAAAAAAGGCATCCAAAACTTTAACCTGGAAACAAAAACTTTAGCCCATTCCCCCAAAGACTTCGTATCTGCGCCTTAATGTTCACAGAACGCCGCTAGCAACAATAATAAGTACTTGAAATACAATCAAGCCGTTTACTGGAGGTTTGCTTCCGAGTAAGCTTATAAACACAAATGCAAATATCTTTTCCTGGCGAATGTCCAGAGCTCAACCAGTGGAAAGTTGATCTTTATAAAACTGCACCCCTCCATTCCCCCACCCCCGTAATCCAGATACTAATTTCACAACGGCAACTTTTATTTCCGAAGAGGGGAGCCCAGACCCCCACTGTCATTCGATTTGCAATTTACATAACAGGCTGTTTACACTTCTCCCGGCTGACAGAGGGAGGGAATGGAGGGCGAGACATCCATCGGAGCACGACTGGCATTGCAAAACCGGGGTCCGTTGGCATTTCCCACATTCGGAAAACAAACGAGACGCTGTCCCTGCTTTTGTCCCGCGCATTGCAAGCACTAGAAACGTATTTTAAAGACTGAATTCACCAAATGTTGAGGTGTTTAGGAAGAACACTTATTTAACTGGCCTCCATGCTGCAGCTAGAGCGTCCCATAAAGCCTCAGCCAAAGGAGTTTATTAAGTTAGGGTCCAAGACTGAAGGTTGGAGACGAATTCATTTTTCAAGTCTTGGGGTTTCTCCTCTTTCTCCCGCAAGTATTTAGACACCACCAAGTACTGAGCCTCCTGCTGAAAATGTTTCTTCCAACCAGTCAGCGACTCAGCCTTGCGAACACTCTAGAAAAGGAGTTTGTGGCCCAAAGCGCAAAGCAGGCCAGGAGGCAGAGGCCTCAGGAATCGGAACTTCCGGGCACCCCCTTCCCCAGGCCATTTCTAGAAGTAGTAGGTCTTCCTCTTCTCTTCAAGAAACGTCCATTATGAAATTCAATATATTTTTTAAATGTTCAAGTGTCACGGAGCTGTGCCTGCTGCCTAAGTCAGCGCCCTTGACAACTGGAGATGCAGTTAGGATTTTTGTTCAGAGGGAGCCGAGATTGCAACCAGGAAACCAAAAGGAGCTCCCAACACATCTTTTAGTTACAGATTGTCAGAAATTGGGGTGGGAGGTGGAAGTGTTAAATGTGTCATGCTACTCTTCTTCAGTTTCCTAAACTCGTCGGTTTCTCCAGCTTTTAGTAAAGGATCTAGTGGTCAGTCTCCAGGAAGGTCTTTTCTGGAGTTGACCAAATGCAAAATCGCGCTGCAAGCAGAGGGAGGCCCATGTCTCTTCCTCTCCTTCGTTTCTTTCCCTCTCATTTCTCTACTTCCCATTCCATCCCAGTCACCCAGAACCTCCACATCCCTCGCGTACGCGTACGTACGCACAAGGATGCTCCATCTGTACCTATCCCCCTGCAGGTGCGATTCTGAGCATTCCTCCCAAACAGCCGTTATCTCTGCTTGCCCGCAGCTCAGCGCGTGTGCTCCTAGAGACTGGACTCGGACGTGTTATACTCTAGAAATATTTACTTGCTTCTTGTCATTACACCTGCTAATGTCACTGAGCCCGCAGCCTGACGACCCCTCCTCTAAGTCCGACAGGACAAGAGAGGAACTGGTGGGCTGTGAATCTGAGGGACACCGCATGCTCCCCGAAGGGTAGCGCAGGGAAGCCTCCGGGGTCCAGCAGCCCTCGCCGCAAGCACCCCATGGCCGCCAAGGGCCCTAGGGGGCCGAGGGGCAGACTGTCCTGCGGTGGGGTGAACACCGTCTACCTGGGCGAACCACTGCCGGGAGCTCCCGGCAAAGCCCCTTTTCCTACTCTTTTATCTCTACTGGGAGGGGTCGCGGGACGGTGAGACGAGGTCGACAACTCCTTCCCCACCAGTAAGAGAGCACGGCAGTAACCGAGCCCTTAAGACTCTCTAACCCAGCTAAGGACAGGAAAACTTCCAGGTGGGGAAAAACTGGAGACCTCTGTGACGCCAGTGAGTCCACTGGTCGATCGGGAGAGGAGGGGAGGGAAGAAGTGGGTAGAGAGAAAAGGTAAGGGGGGAAAGAAGGAGGGGCTGGGAAATCCCGGAGCTGGAGCCAGACAGAACGGCCAAGGAATGAGAGAGAGCCAGCGCGAGTTGGGACTCGAGGAGTCGGCGACGCCTGGGAGCACTGGACGGAGGAAGGGTCTGTGTGGAACCCAGGAGGACCCAGAAAATCTGAGAGAACAATGGATGTCCGTGCGGATGGCCCAGGATGGGAGACATTGCCTGGCTCCGGTGGCGCGGGGCGCAGTCGGGGCAGACAAACCGACTGCCCACGCAGACCTGGGCTTAGGCGCGAGCTCCGGACCCCGCCGGCCGGCGCGCGTGTGGTCAGCCCCGTGGTCCTCCCGCGGCCCGGCGCGGCCCGGCGGGGTTCGGCCTTCGGCTCATTCAGAGGCGGTTCTCGCGTCTCATTGGCTGCTGCTGTTGCGGTGGGGCGGGGCTCCGCTGCCCGGAAAAAAATGTAACTGCGTAAAAAAGTCCTCGCCTGGGTGACGGATGCTCAAAAGTTCAGAAGTTTTCCAATGCTTCCTTAAGCGGCCGGCGCGCAAGAGACTGAAAAAAAAGGTGACGCGGGGCCCGGGAAGGCGGCCGGCGCGCGGCCCCCCGCCCTGGTGATTTGGCCGCCTTCGCCGGCGGCTCGAGGCAGTCTCCTGGAAGGCGTAGGCAGTGTGGCGAGAAGGGCGCCTTCTTGTTTTTTAGTTTTGGCTCTTTTTTTTGCCGTTCTCGCCTGGAAGTGGCTCCGCGAATTTCTTCAAGGCCATTTGTTGCGTCCTGGCCCGGCCCTTTCTCGTAGCACCGACCCTCCTTCGCGGCCAGCGCGGGCCCTGAAGTGGCCGGAGGCTCCCCAGGAGCCCGAGCGAGCGCAGGGAGAGGCCGCGCGCAGCTGGCGACTCCGGGAGGCGGCGGCGGCCCGACACCAGCTCCGCGAGGCCCGGACTCGGACTAGGCGGCCGGCGCCGCGCGGCCGACCAGAGCGAGGGTGGGGGGCGGCGGGCGGCGCGGGGCGGCGGCGGCGAGCGGGGGCCATGCAGGCGCGCTACTCCGTGTCCAGCCCCAACTCCCTGGGAGTGGTGCCCTACCTCGGCGGCGAGCAGAGCTACTACCGCGCGGCGGCGGCGGCGGCCGGGGGCGGCTACACCGCCATGCCGGCCCCCATGAGCGTGTACTCGCACCCCGCGCATGCCGAGCAGTATCCGGGCGGCATGGCCCGCGCTTACGGGCCCTACACACCCCAGCCGCAGCCCAAGGACATGGTGAAGCCGCCCTATAGCTACATCGCGCTCATTACCATGGCCATCCAAAACGCCCCGGACAAGAAGATCACCCTCAATGGCATCTACCAGTTCATCATGGACCGCTTCCCCTTCTACCGGGACAATAAGCAGGGCTGGCAGAACAGCATCCGCCACAACCTCTCGCTCAACGAGTGCTTCGTCAAGGTGCCCCGCGACGACAAGAAACCGGGCAAGGGCAGCTACTGGACGCTGGACCCGGACTCGTACAACATGTTCGAGAACGGCAGCTTCCTGCGGCGGCGGCGGCGCTTCAAGAAGAAGGACGCGGTGAAGGACAAGGAGGAGAAGGACCGGCTGCACCTCAAGGAACCACCGCCGCCGCCGCCGCCCGGCCGCCAGCCCCCGTCCGCGCCGCCGGAGCAGACCGACGGCGCCGCGTCCGGACCGCAGCCGCCGCCTGTGCGTATCCAGGACATCAAAACCGAGAACGGTACGTGCCCCTCGCCGCCCCAACCCCTGTCCCCGGCCGCCGCCCTGGGCAGCGGCAGCGCCGCTGCGGTGCCCAAAATCGAAAGCCCCGACAGCAGCAGCAGCAGCCTGTCGAGCGGGAGCAGTCCCCCGGGCAGCCTGCCGTCCGCGCGGCCGCTGAGCCTGGACGGCGCGGAGTCCGCGCCGCCGCCACCGCCCGCGCAGCCCGCGCCGCAGCCGCACCACAGCCAGGGGTTCAGCGTGGACAACATCATGACTTCTCTGCGAGGGTCGCCTCAGGGCGCGGCCGCGGAGCTCGGCTCTGGACTCCTGGCCTCGGCGGCCGGGTCCTCGCGCGCGGGCATCGCACCCCCGTTGGCGCTCGGCGCCTACTCGCCTGGCCAGAGCTCCCTCTACAGCTCCCCCTGCAGCCAGAGCTCCAGCGCTGGCAGCTCCGGCGGGGGCGGTGGCGGCGGGGGCGGCAGCGCGGGGAGCGCCGGGACCTACCACTGCAACCTGCAGGCCATGAGCTTATACGCTGCCGGGGAGCGCGGCGGCCACTTGCAGGGCGCGCCCGGGGGTGCCGGCGGCTCAGCCGTGGACGACCCCCTACCCGACTACTCTCTGCCCCCGGTCACCAGCAGCAGCTCCTCTTCCCTGAGTCACGGCAGCGGCCAGGAGGCCGGCCACCACCCTGCAGCCCACCAAGGCCGCCTCACCTCGTGGTACCTGAACCAGGCGAGCGGAGACCTGGGCCATCTGGCCAGCGCGGCGGCGGCAGCGGCGGCGGCGGGCTACCCCAGCCAACAGCAGAACTTCCACTCGGTGCGGGAGATGTTCGAGTCACAGAGGATCGGCTTGAACAACTCTCCGGTGAACGGGAATAGTAGCTGTCAGATGGCCTTCCCTTCCAGCCAGTCTCTGTACCGCACGTCCGGGGCTTTCGTCTATGACTGTAGCAAATTTTGACACCCCAGCCACCTCAAAACCGAACTGAATCGAACCCTAGAGCAGGAACAACCAAAAGAACCATCAATGCAAAATCGAAACCAAAAAATAATCCAGTTTCTTTAAATCTTGAAAAACATTCTCCCAACCAGCGAACAGAATCCTTACAAAAGTTCAACTCACCAGCACAAACAAAAACAAAACACTATTTTTTTTAAAAAAAAGATTAATTCAGAGCCACCTCCACTTTGCCTTATCTAAATAAACAAAACCGTAAACCATTTTACAGAGACAGCAAAATCATGGTTTATTAAAGGACAGTGTTACCGCAGATAACACGTAAGTTTCTTCTTGCTTTTCAGAGAGCACGCTTTCGTTTTCCTTCTCTTCCATCCCCTTACCGTTCTCCTTCCTTCACCTCTCACCTGTAAGATATTATTTTATCCTATGCTGAAAGGCGGGGGAAGTCCCCGTGTGTGGAAATCGCTTTCTTTTTATTCATGGACTTGTTTTAAAGTGTAAATTTCAACATAGTAATTTATTTTTAATTTGTAGTTGGATGTCGTGGACCAAACGCCAGAAAGTGTTTCCAAAATCTGACGTTAAATTGCCTGAAACTTACATTGTGCCTTTTTTCATTATAAAAAGGGAAACTGTATTAATCTTATTCTATCATCTTTTCTTTGTTGAACATATTCCTTGTTTGTTTATTAATAAATTACCATTCAGTTTGAATGATGCCTATATGTCTGGATACTTTAATACAGCCTTAATTATTATAAGAAAAAGATTTCAGAGATTAAAACACTACAAATTACCTATTCTGAATCTCTGAAAAATGGAGAAACCCTCCATTTCCTGTCAAATTTAACATGAAAGTCTCTTTTCGTTTAGTTGTTTCCTTGCAGCATCTCCCGCAAAATGTACTATATAGTCAGCTTGCTTTGTGGCTAGTAAAAACATACTTTCCTAAACAGATTTGCGTTGGCATATACATAAATACATTTTCTCGGTAATGACAGAACATGATTTGGAAATTGTTAGCCCGTGAATCAGCACCCGTCTTTACCACAGTGATACCTGTGTATGGAGAGAGGTGTATGTGCCTCCAGATATACACAGAGAAATACTTGGCTTGTGTAGCACACAAAAAAATTGGGATGAGTATTATACATCCTTGTGAACCAAATTGTTTTCCTATTTTTTCACTCCTTTATAAAAAAGGAAATATAAACCATTTAAATGTATATAATTCATCCACATTTACAATCCATCATGTGTTATTTAGAAGGATTGATTTTTATAAAAAATGTACTGTGGGTTGGAAAGGGAAATTTAATCTTCGGTAAACTATTTTAGAAGATATGTTTGTAGAACAATTATTTCTGAAAAAGATTTAAAGCAATAAGAAGGAAGGAGAGAAGAACAACATTTTAGTCTAGGGTGGTTTCTTTTCAATCCAATTTTTCTTGCTAATTTACAGTTAAACCTAGGGGGCAATCGAATTGGCCCTCCCCCTTTGTAAATAACCCAGGAAATGTAATAAATTCATTATCTTAGAGTGATCAGCCCTGTCAATCAGACTTTGGGGAGATGGCAATTTGATTACAGACATTCAGGGCCTTTTAGTTTGTTTTCAAGATAATACAGTTTCCTGCTATCTGCCGCTCCTATCTAGAGGCAACACTTAGCAGTAATTGCTGTTGCTTGTTGTCAAAATTTGATCATTGTTAAAGGATTGCTGCAAATAAATACATTCTAATTTCAGTCAAAACCTGCTTTACGTGGCCTCTGATTTACTCGGGTCTTCTTTGCTCAGAGTCGTAACCTAATAGCCAGGGAAGAATGCTGCGGCCCCGGGCACGGGTGTCTCCTCGGGTCAGGTCGGCTGAGACTGGCCTCCCTGCTGCTACGTGAGCTTACGGGCTGCTGTCGCAGCTCTAGCACCTGGGGTTGCCGCGAGCTTCCTCGGGACCCCCACACCCTGCTTTGGGTGGGCGGTGAAGGGAACGAATCCATTGACAAAGACCGTAGAGTTTGTGCATTGGTCCACTTTTACAAGCCGAGTGTGGAGCTGGGGTTTAAGGACAAAGGGTCCGGTGGCCTGAGCTGGGTTGTCCAGGCCTGGGAGGAGAGCGGCAGCAGGTGACCAAACGGCCTAGTCTCTTCGGACTGGGTGACCGATCCCCAGGCCGGGCAGCTCGGGCAGCCTGAGACGGTTCTTTTTCCAACATGCCTGGTTCATCTTTTTAGAACGCGGGATGACGGCGAATGCAGACCTGCGGCCCACCACGGGCTTTCCGGGGGGCGTTTCTCGCGGCCCGACGCCGGACTCCCGACGCGGCTCCCGGACTGTAGGCTTTTCGGCTAATTAGCTGTAATTACCCGCCGCAGCCCAGCCCGGCATGTTTGTGTTTGGAGCTACTTCCTACCCCGACGTCGACCCCGCCCCGCCCCTTCCCTGGCTCCTGGCTGCCTCCTCGCGAAACCAGTTGTTTGAGGAGAAAATAGAGTCCAAGAAGACCTCGGCTGGGAGTATGGGCTGGAGCGAAGGTGCCGGGAAGACCGCGCTGGTGGGAAGGTAGCACAGGTCAGGGGTGTGTGTGGGAAGGCAGAGGGCTTTACTCCTTACCCTCGCGCCGCCGGGACGACAGCGCTTCCCGTTTGCACTCTTCGCCGCCTTTGTTTTGAGGACACACGTGTGTTTAGGAACTCAGCCAGGGTGGAAAGGTCATAGGCACTCCATTGCTCCCCGGTGACAGCTCTCCCCGCGCCATCCCGCAGCTGCAGGTTTGCAAGAGGACCTCTTACCCGGCGCCCCTCGGCCTGCCCGCACCGACCCTCCCGGTCCAGCTCTGGGGCCTTAGGTGGCCTCCCCAGCAGGGATGCGTCCTCGCAGTGTGTAAGGTCGGTTGACGGAGGCCACAAATCATCTGGCAGTGGCCGGCGCGGGAGTCGCTCGGCCTGAAGGACAGGATGCGAGAGAGACGTGCCCGGCAGGCAGCGGGTTCGGAGTGTTCAGGGTCCACGTGCCCGTGACCCTCTGTATCTCCTGCGACCTCGGATTTGTGGCGCCCGGGCATCGCGGCTACAGTCAGCCCCAGGCCTAGGCCCAGTCTAGCCCCTGGGAACTGGACTGCTTAGCCCCGACTGGTGGGCTGCGGCGGGGGAGGGGGGGGCACGGAGAGGCAGGCGCGCGGGGAGGGGTCGGCTCGGGCGCCCTGAAGGAGCGCAAGCAGCCTGAGCTGGAATGGACGCGGTGAGTTGTTCCCGGTCCCGCCAGGATGGGAAGTGGGCTTCGGGCGCCCTTTTTTCCTCCTTCCTGGGTCTGGAGGCCCTGTGGCTGGACCAGGGACCCGGTATGAGTGCGGAGATCTGGTTTCATCGGACAGAGAGGAGACCCTGGCCGTAGCTCCTGACAGCGTTTAAGTGCTTGCCGGGGGAAGGCTTCTTAGCAGTCATTTTTGCCCTCTTGGATTCCAGCGTTTGAAAATTAGGCATGGAAGACCTATGTGTCTAGGAAGGTGCTTGTGTTACACATATATAGCAAAGGTAGTTATTTCTGCGCGGATTACCTAAATTTGAATGGAAGGTCCGAAGTTCTACAAATTATTCTGATTGTTAAAACCACATATGCAATGGTTTCTGGTATCACTATATTTGCAATTGTATTCTCATATCCAGTGTTAGAAAAAGCAATTCCCGTCAACCTTATTTAATCTGGGAGAACTACTTATTCCTTAGTGGTTTTCATGTTTGATCTGTACTTTTCCATCAATAAGGATTTTTTTTCCTGTAAGATATTATAAGAAAACTCCTTCATATTTTAACTAACACACTTCATTTTGAAATTAGCCCAAGACACAAGGCAGGACCCAGGGATGGGGACTAGGCTAATTTTTAAATTAGTCTCTGCAGAAGGCTTTAGGATAACATTTTGTCCTTTATGTAGCAGTGGTCACATTTATTTTCGTAGCAGTTTCTACCATGAGCAAGTAAATGCCAGCATAGTACATGCCCCCTGAAAGCTTGCATTTGGCATATTGCATGTCTGGTAGGAATGCGTGCTGTTTCCAACGTGTGTAGTTACCAGACCTTTTTTCACCAGACTGCATGCAAACGAGCATGCATTTTACGATTTATCATTCCACAGAGTTTGTCATTAATAATCGATGTTTGCAGAGGAATAAGGCTCAATTGTGCTGGTGGCCCATAAGCTCTTGGCTGTTTCCTGTGGGGTCAGAAACAGGGGTCAGGAAACAAGAGTGCCTTATAGCCCTACTGGGCTCCCCTGAACTTTGATAGGTTAAGAAGGGACATAAGATCTTTTCTCTCGCACCCAGTTCCCTAGAGAGGAGTGTCAGTTTTTAAGGTGGAAGGCCATTTGTTTTGTTTTAAATGATACAGACTTTACAGAGGTCCTGAACCCTCTGCTGATCCAGGTTGCCTGGACAGACTGCCCAAGAGGGCCAATAGGCTTCCATGGCTTTGGATACTAGTGGTCTCCCTAGCTTTTAGTGGCGCCTGAAGCAAGCCTGGTTGGAAGGACAGTTGCTTTCTACCTCCATACTGTATCTTGGAGTTCCTTGGAGAGGGGTCCCATATGCTTCTGAGCCCAGTTCCCACCACTGGATCCTGCCTCGTGTCACAGGACATTCTCTTCAGACTCCTCTAGACTCATTTCAGAGCCAGTTCATGAAGCCATTAGCCCTTCCCACCAAGTCATAAACAAATGTCACGTTAGGGGTAAGATTGATGGTGGCCATGTAATAAAGCTGGCCAGGCAGAATACATTCTTGCTGGGCCGTCATTCTTCAGCCAGCAGAGAGCTTTGGGGGGAGGCAGGGAGAAAAGGAATCAAGAGACTTTATCAGAGTGCTCACCCCACCAAGCTGTGGGAAGTAGAGGCCAGAGAGCAGGCTGGCCCTAAGCTCAGGAGAGCTCCTGACAAGCAAAACGTAATCTGTTCAGACAGTGGCCACAGGCATGAAAAAACCCATTGAGATTTGCCATGGGACCCTAAATGCCAGCATCAGAAACCCCACTTTTCTGAAAGTTCCTATTTCAATTTATAATGAGGCCACGAGTTTCCTTGCAAAGAGCTTTTATTAACGCCCCCCCCCTTTTTTTTTTAGTATTTCGGTCTATATTCACAGGCAGAACTTTTGTAGCCTGATACAAAAGTTAATTCATCTCCCCTTTTTGAGTGAGAATCCAATATAATCATTAAGTTTTGTGTCTCTTTGTGTCTCTATTCCTCAGTCCCCCTCTTTATCTCTGTTACTTTCACTCACTGCTTTTTCTCCCAACTCCCTACAGAAGGAGTTGAGGTCCTGAAGTTTCTCCCCAATGTCCCAGATGTCCCCACTCCAGTTGAGCCTGCTCTCCCTGGTGGCCTGCAGGCCCAGGTGCTGAGTCCTTTGGGTGATAGGCCTGATGCTGGGAACCAGAACTTACTCCTAGTCCTCAGAAAGACCTGGTGCATAAGGGAGAAGAACTGGCAGTTTCCAGGTCTGAGCCAGGTTGGGAAAGAAGGACCACTGAAATAAATTCCAGCTCCAAAATCCATTCAGGAGAATGAAAGCCACTTCTCCATGATGTTCTAAACGTGATTAGGAGTGGAAAATTGAGCAAAATGTACCATGTCCACCTCATTGGAAATCAAAATATGGCCTAGAGAGCATAAGGCCTGACTTAGGACCTTTGTTGTGCCCCTTTCCCATCAAACCCTGGCTCAAAAGAAACCCTCTGTTTTATATTATTTTTTTTTGTTGTTTACTTGATTTTTTCCTTCACTGATTTTTAATTTGCAGCATATTGAGCGTATTATGAGAGATGCAGTGGGATCTGGAATTTCCTTGCATATAGGCAGGGGTCTTCCAAATAGGAGAGAAGGGCAGAGCTTCCTCCAGAAACCCAGCCAAATAGGAGACGTGGGTTCTGCATGGTCCTGAGAGGGTCCAGCCTTGCTTCCAGTACATAGCATCCCCACCTGGGGTCGGGAGGGTGGCCTCAGAAATCTCTGTCAGGGTTGCTTCTCCAGGCCTCTTGCTCTTCCAGAGGGCACCTCCCTCTGTTCTCCCAAAGAGCGTCTTTTTTCTCTGGTCCGTTCTTGGGTTCCTCTGAGCCCACCAGTTAGCACTACTGGTCAGTTGGGCTAAACTGCCCATCCTCTTCTCCTGGCTGTCTCTGCATGTTGCTCCTATGGAGACTCTGTGGGCTGCTCATTTGCCCAGTAAGTCAACACAGTTTGGTGCTACTTGGGTGGGCATGGGAGTGCAATTTGTGAATCCAGAGGGTGAGCAGTGGGTGGGCAGCGAGAGCCAGGTGGGTGGTGGGACTCCTGCAGGACGTAGGGACAGGGAAGTGCTCTTCAGGTAGTTAGATGTGAGGTTGGGCAATGAAGGAGTTGGATCTAGGGCTTTGAGGACAATATAGACTGAGAGAGGGAGAGGCCTTCCCTCCACCATTACTTAACCCCAGGGAAAATGCAGGAAAACCAACACATTTAGAGCCATTAACTCTTAAGGCCTCTGCATTTCCTTCAGTATAAAAGCAGGTCGTTTGTACTGGAGTGTGGGTCGAGGTCTTGTTAACTGTATAGATAGGAAACCGGACAGGGGTTGGGGAACACATGTTTACACAGCGTTAGGATTCCTAAAAATCTGCCAGTAGAGGAAAAAGAAAAATTCTATCCTCCTAGTGGAGCAAAATCGGTGTCCCCGACGGTGCACAGGG